GAAATTCTGTCTACCACCGAACTTCCCTGGCCGTCCGGATTCTAGCTTTTCAAGTCTGACGAGAATCTGCTTCAAGGCATCTGTCACTTCCGTCTGGGCTGCACTGGCACCACTCTGGCTTTTCTTGACGTCCTTTTCTTCCCCAATTGCTCTAACAGGTTGTTTCCGTTTTTCACTATCACCTAGGACAGCTTCATAGCGCTCTATGACTTCTACAGCATCGGCGATCGTCTGACAGTCTTTATCTATGCAGCGGCACTTCATCTCCAATGTTATACTTTTATAAAGCTGGTTAATGGACAGCGCCTCTTGTGCCATGGCATCCAGGTTAGGATAGGCCTTCTGTGACATCTGCCTCAAATCGTCAGCCAAAGCTGCTATAGATTCGTTTGGTGTGCGTCTTCTTGATTCAAATCGGGAGAGCCAGCGATTCTGTTGTCGGGAACTTCCAAATCTTTGCTCAAGTTTGTCAACAAGGACAGCATATGGTTGCCTAGATTCAACAGGTAGACTAATGTAGAACGTGCGTGCAGAGCCCCGTAGACATGCAGCTAGCGCTTATACTTTATCATGGTCACCCCATCTTCCCAATTCAGCGCAAACTTCAAAGTGTGAAATATATTCTTGCCAATCATCGCTGCCATTGTAAGGTTCTGGTTTTAGATTTAAACCTCTCGCACCTGGTCTAGGTTGCCAGTCACCTGCACCTCGTCTATCTAGGTCAAGATCAAATTCATCTTCATGCTCCGATAGCTGGTCGATCTCATTCTCTTGGTCTTGTGGTACATTTATAACAACTTCGTTATCAGGAGATGCCATTTTGCGTCAGACAGAGAGCTCAATCACAAGAAGATACTTAAAAGAGAGAACAGAGCAAAACTTCAAAAAATTATACCCAACACGGAAGACACAACTGACGAGAGTTCGCATCCTGGAAATTACAAACATGTAAAATCCCACTTCTGACACCAGTTTGTAACAAGTCGAGCGGACCCTTGTCACAAAATAAAAACTCCATTGTCAGGCATAACAAGTTTTTATTGAGGATGGCAACAATCAAACAACAACAACAAATGAGATGCTGACCATTCAGACAATCAATTGACCCGAAAAAAAAAGGGGGGGTGAACTTGTCCTGACTACACTTAATACAGTTTATTTATATATTCTAGTATCTGCAAACAACCTTAGCTCTCGGACTCGAAGTGAAATAACTTTGCGGAAATACTTGCGTTAAAATAAATAATTATGAATTCATTTTAACATGCGTCAATCCGGACAGTCCCTAAATATAGGTCTATATTCTAAATCTGTACTAAATATCTCCAGCAATCAACTTTATTACTGCCTAACTTACAAAGACACTATGCGTAAATTATCCCGAACATATGAATATTCCTAAAATGACTTTATTTTCAGCTTAAGCAAATCCGAACAAATACTGCCAAATCCGGACAACCCATTCTGGACAAGAATAACCTATGTGAACTTAACTGTATGAACTATTCTGGACATCCGAACAAACGATCCGGACAACTATCAAAATATAATTCTGTCATAAACTATAACCAATTAACTTCTGAACTTGGAAACAACTAATAGAAATGTTCCGGTCATAAGTCCTAATTAATAACTCGAACTGTAAACAAACAAATTACTGGTCTACATGACTGGAATAATTCCTCTACTTATAATACTGTCCAGTCCGGACGCGCGAGTCTCGAGTCTTTATAAAAATTAGCATCATCCACTACAAGATCTATCATCTTGAATACCTTAAGCTTTCTCTGAGGATTTGGTTCAAGAACTAGCAACCACAAGGGATGTAGAGTCAAGATTGAGTGTCGAGATGCTGAAATTGGGTCCTATATATAACCTTCTATCACCAATCAGCGTTTGTCCTTTTTGTCCGGAAAATAATTGACCAATCCAAACGCTGTACGGATCTATGGAAAATCCGAACAATATACAATCTCCGGACAAGCAGAATTAAAACCCTTAATAAACATTTAATGAACAATACAAGACCTTGTCCGGATTACTTTAATTACATGGACACTAAAATACGTAATTAGTTTAATAAATAAAATTATCCAAGACTACGTAGTTTTGTTATAAAAATCAAGTTTCGAATCTAGGCGCCTTCAGAAGTAGTGCGCGTAGCGATATACGCAAATACGGAAGTGCGACTTCACAACATAGTACCTAGGATAGATCGATAAAATAAGACAATAGTTCACCATAATAAGGTAAATAAGGGACAAAAATATTGGTCAGCATCATATTACAATAATTCAAGATAAAAATAATGTACAACATGGTTGAATAATGAGAAATCAGGCAGCAGAATCACAGGTGACAAGATGAGTAGTGAAGCGGTCAATCAGACGAAGGAAACGCATGTTTAAGTACACAAGAAGTTCGCGAGCGGTAAAATGACGATTTCACATAGATGTAAGTAAAAGAATACGCTGGTACTGAACACAGATCAATAACCGGTAATTATTAACAACTGTAATCTGTTAAAATGTATTATTTTACCGTATTTACGCAGAAACTTAGAGAATAAAATTTGTAAACAAACTATTGAAAATGGGGGATGTTGTCAAAACACGATCGGTAATACTGCAAGTTTTGTAAACAAAATCTGAATAAAAATAAGACATAATAAATGCTGCTTAAGCTTAATTAATTACTTTAAAGTCATGTACTATGATTATAGTGTATCTCCATTCAGAATAAATTAATTGTAAACAATACAAGAGTAAGCACATGAACAGCTGATGAAGGTCTCACATATTACAGTAAATTTGCTTGGATATTTCGTACCTGAGTTTGAGTTAAATTCATTTTACAACATTGTTTGGTGGTACTATGTTTTACTTATAACATCATATATTAATTCCCAATAACCACTGATTAAATAAAAAATTATCGCTGTACTTGTATTAACGATGTTTTCTCCTTTACCGGATCATTTTCTCCATTACCGAATCACGTGACATAAAGCTGATTATTCTGGTTCGGGACCGTGTAAATTTAAAAATACCCTTCTTACGTAACGTTTTACTATGCCTAAAAATATTTCAAACCCCACCCACTCCCCCCCCCCCCCCCCCCCCCCCCCCCAAAGGAGAAAAGCTAGGAATTTTTTGAGTTGTTTGCATCCGAAAATTAATGTAAAAACAACAACAATGAAATCATAGGAAAAAAACAGACTAGTTGAAATAAGAGGACATAAAAACTTATAATATGTGCATGATGAACTGCAAACAGCCGAAGAATTAATTTTTGATTAAAAAATTGTACTCATTGAGCTACCACACCCCCTCCCCATAATTTTGTCGCTATTTAGATAGAAAATATATCGCTAGATATATATTTGTGCCCCCTAAAAAAAAGTCTGATGACCTTTTTTATGCTTGATTAATTAATTGTCAAGGAATTTTGGTGGATGATAGTGCCTCCTCAACTGAAAATGTATGGCTCTACACCCCTCCCCCACCAACTGAAATTGCTTCCTACGAGCCTGGATGCAGAGATACCTAAAGCTGAAAGGAACAATTATATTTTCAAAATGTCGAGACCCAACACCTAAATTTCCTCCGATGAGCAGAGACAACTTTACAAATAATGATGTTGGGATTCATTTGCTGGATTTCTCCATTCCAACATCCACAGTAGATTAAATACCAGTATTCCGATTTATTAAATACTGGAGGTTGTCCTTTCACTTTATATATATGGGTCTACTTCAATTGTCCATCGTCTCTATAGAAATGAATAAGACAGCTCATTCTCCTCTAGCTGCTTTCATAGTGCTCTTTCTCCCTTTTACGTGAAGACAATGGTGGCATATATTCCATATATAGGCAAAAGGCTGCAGTCTGCATATCATTTTCTTGAAAAAAAAGGGGGGGGGGGTATCATAATACTCTGTTTATAATTTATTTAGCTTGATGTTGAATTGAAAAAGTATTGTTAGCAATATGCATTTTATATTATACGAGCTTCATCTTGATCATGATGACAAGAAATTAAAAAATTATTATTGGAAATAATTTTTTAGGGAATAGGAAAACTGCAGACGGGGTATTGTTGGAAATAATGATTTAGTAGGGAAGTTTAAATTGCAAAGGGATAAATAAATAAAATTTATAAATCTTAATTTTGTTGGGTAATCATGACGATTTTTATTTCGATGTCTTCACATTAGCTTACATGCACATACATGTACGTATAGCCTATACCACCGGGAGACATTCTCGAAGTCGAATCCACATTCTCTGCACTTCTTACTGATTTTGGCTGCTGATTTTGTTTATGTGTATTTTAACCACCTTTATTGTACGCTTTTGGTAGACATCTTCTGTTGTTTGTTTTTTACTGTAACTGGTGTGCAAAAAACCGCATATGAAAAATTATAATTTGGACAGGATCCCTGCATCTTATATTTCTAGAAACAGCGATTCGTTATTGGAAACCTAATTACCCACAACTTAAAAGCGAATAGTATCAATTTCTGAATTAGAAATTGTATGACGCTTTCAGTGCTTTTTGACACATAATTTTATTAAACATCTGCACCAAATTTGTTTACCTAGAATGTACGATTCACATTGGAGCGGTACCGAAAAGTGAAAGTAGTCTGCTTGCATGTACGCTTCTGGTCAGCGTCACAAAAAAGCTTGTTCATGTTTATTTAAAAATTAGGACATTGAACAAGTTGAATTTAATAATTTCATGATAAATGATAAAAGCAAGAATAATTCAGCATGACAGGGTAGGTTTAGCTAAGTATTGGACTTTGATAAGAAAAATACAGAATTTTCATCTGAAAGTGATTCGTTAATGGGTGCGATTCGTTATTGGCAACCTCACTGTACATATATACAGTGTATCAATTCATAAATAATCATATGAAGAAATTTCCAGTGATTGATATAGCCGAGAATACAAAGCAAACAATTGTCAACAACAGATAAAATACATGTACATACCAAGTCAACAGATATGATCTCCTTGAGAGGGACCATAACTTGGAGGTCTTCCCGGCTTTTAGGCGGGTTTTCCGCCTGATAAATATATTCATCGTCCAGAACACAATATTTGAAGCCTTTATTCTCTTTTTCTGTCACGATGATGCATGCCTCGTATCCCCGCACGCGCTCGAACGCCTCCTCTGGCAAGGTGCGCTTGAGAAAACTTTCCAACTTGCTGTTTTTCTTGAACAAAACATCTGTGTTTCCCCGCGCCATGCATGCTCGTGGTTATTTTCACTTTTATTTAAACTCTGATGTCAAATAACGACATTAGCTACCTCTTGCACGTTTACTCATTTCCAAACAATTGACACTGCTACCAAGCACTCCATTGGATTAATTGGTATGCAGGAAGTTTGTGTCAAAGGTCATATTGTCTTAATGTGGTTTTCTAAACAGAAGAGTTCTAATAAAAAGAGAGATAACTCTAACAGTCATGACTAACAAACACGACTGAATTTTTATCTAAACCCTAATGTTATCAAATTTCACGACTTGTTAAAATGTAAGGCTACTAGTCATTTTTGAACTTTCAAAATTTTGTAAAATTTTACTGTCAGTACTAAATCGATAATTGCAAAACTACTGAGTAACAAATGTTAATGTGTTAGACGGTGTGACCGTTAGTGAGGGCGGAGCCATGAAGAGAAAATTGCTACCTTTTATTGTTTAATGACAAATCCAGGGGCGGATACAGGATTTGTGGTTAGGGGGGGGCGTGGATAACTTTGTTGAGGCAAGAGGTCTGGGGGCCGCCTTAAGGCCCCAGTGGGTCCAGGGCGAAGCCCCCGGAAGCTCCTGGGTTTTCGTGTATTTTAGAGTAAAATCAGGCACAATAATAGTGCATATTTTTCAATTATTTTTGTTAAAAGTATATAGCATATAGGTGGTGGCCCAGGGGGCGAAGCCCCCCGTAAGCTTCTGGGTTTTCGTGTATTTTAGAGTAAAATCAGGCACATATTAACCAGTGCATATTTTTCAATTTATTTTTGTTAAAAGTATATAGCATATAGGTGGGGGCCCAGGGGGCGGAAGCTTCTGGGTTTTCGTGTATTGTAGAGTAAAACCAGGCACAATAATAGTGCATATTTTTCAATTATTTTTGGTAAAAGTAAATAGCATATAGGTCCGGATGTTTAAATAATAAATGTATTGAATGTTTCTCAATTCTCATTGTATTGTAACACATGCCACTATATAATAAACGATTTACTTACTTATTACTTACTAATAGTGGTATTGGTTAGTGATGTACCAAAGTACGACGTGTTTAATACTAGTCATGTCATACTTTGAATGGTGGGGGCCCAGGGGGCGCAGCCCCTGGAAGCTCCTGGATTTTTGTGTATTTTAAGAATAAAACCAGGCAGAATAACACTTTTTTGGTTAGTTTTGTACCAAATTGTGGCTTTATAAATATCAGACACATCATACTTTTAAATTTTTTGGGGGGGGGGTGCGCCCCCCCCGCGCCCCCCTTAAATCCGCCAGTGAAATCAGTTAAATTCTGAAATTGTATGTCAGTGTCAGAGAATCATAACAAAGAACTCAGTTCTTAAAAAAAACTTTTCATTCAAATACATGTAATAAATCAAAGAACTAACTGAGATATTTCATCATGAGACAAAGGGTTGTCTAGCCAGAGCACTAAACGTCGAAGAATGTAGTGGGGAAAGGGAGCGGCATGCACTGGACCAATAAGGGATTCAACGTACCGAGGTCCAAGAAATGTGATACACCTCGGCCCAACGACACCTCAAACTTTAATGCATGTATAACAGTAAACTTGTTCCCAAATATATCCTACAATAATCAACTCATAAACTTTTCTGAGCATCATTTCTTTGTCTTTCACTACTTTTAATTCATATGCTTATTTAACAACACTGATCTGGAAACCTCAAGTCCTTTCTCAACTGTTATTACTCCCATTACATTATCATAGTTATGACATCATCTAAAGTAAGAACAATATATTGTCAAGACCAGGGTTGCGTTCAACAGCGTAGCTGCTACATAGCCGCTACGTAAAGCTACGCTCTTAAACAGAGAGCTAACCTAACCGCTACGTATGGAGAGCTAGCATAAGATCAGAAGACGAACTCAGATGACCTAAAATACAGACAGATGGTCTACTTCCTGGATGAATCTGATCATCAGACCAAATTTGACTGTGTTACTATCACGAAGGTTGAAAATATAACAGCATCACAACTTTTATGAGAAAAAAAATTTGCAACGGATGCATGATTAGGGACATTTATTAGGTCCCTGTTGTGATATATCTTTTTAAAGTTTCTTCTTATTTATTTCTTTTTATTTTACATTAATTGGTAACCCATTAATTTAATTATAATGATTATTTTCTTTATTTTAACGAAAAATGTATATTTCACTTTTGGGTTTGTCCGTCCGTCCGTCCGTCCGTCCGTCTTTCTGTCTGTCTGTAGCGCTTTCGTTTCCACACGATATCTCGAGAACCCTTTGAGCTTTTGCAATGAAATTTAGCATAGCAACTCCCTATGGACTACAGAAGACCCCTATTGATTTTGAGGTCAAAAGGTCAAAGGTCAAGGTCATAAATAGGCAAATTCTGTCTGTTAAAACACTTTCGTTTCCACACGATATCTTTAGAACCATTTGAGCTATAGCAAAGAAATTTTACATAACAACTCCCTGTGGCCTAAAGAAGACCCCTATTGATTTTGAGGTCAAAAGGTCAAAGTTCAAGGTCGTAAATTTATACATTCTGTCTGTGTGTAACACTTTCATTTCCGGGCGATATTTCAAGAAGATTTTGAGGTTATGCAATGTAATTTTATACCAAAATTCCCTAGGACGTCTCTCGCTCCTCTCAAAGTGCCCCACCCCATTTGTTTTATTAGTATTTATAGTATTACATGTCGCAATTTTTAGCGCAGGGGCTTGAGGAGAGTTATTGCGTATAAAACAGGTTCTCGGCGGACTTTATGTTCTTATTACATCTATTAGAACTGTTCAATAAAGGCTAAATAAATCAAACACCATGGATTGTGTAAAATTTTGAGAATACTGAACATGAAAACATGAATATATACATGTATGTGACTTCAGTTCTGCATATACTTCACTCCGGGTAAAGCGATTCCCTGGTCTAGTGGTTATGTGTCTCGCTTCAAATGTGAGAGATCCCGGGATCGAATCTTGGTCGAAGCTTTTTTTTTTTTTTTTTTTTAAAATTTTTATTTTTTTTTTTTTTTTTTTTTTTTTTTACTAAATGATAGTATTCAGCATGTGAAATGAAAAATTTATGAGGTTATCAAATCATCTTTACAGTGTGATAAATATTCCATATAAAAAATCTTCTATACACATAATAAAGAATAAGCAATCAAATCTTTATATGCATATTGACATACATGTATTTTATTTGCTTCAGTATACATGTATACATTTAATAATTCTACAAATTCAGTCAGGGGGAGCCGACTTTTTCCCTAAGCGGGGGACATGAATTCTCTGAATTAGCTTGTTTTTTTTTTTGGCTGATGTTGTTAAAACAAATCTGATTTAAATAGTCTTTCGAATTTTCTAAATCTAACATTAACACAATCATTTTGAAAACAGTTATACTTTTTAATTATCTGAAGAAAAAAAAATCTCGAAATTAAAAGTAATTTTTCTGGTATCTTTGTCGTTTAAGACTTGGTTAATCATATAATTTCAAAACCAAAACTTGTGAATAGAAGGGTACACTTCTGAGAAGTTTGAATTGAATATTTAACTTTATTGATGTCAAACAAAAATTCTGAATATTTGCTTCATGTTTTTAAAAGTTTTAAAGCACATTTATTAGGATAGAAAACTATATTGATATGCTTGATGTGTATTACATTAACAGCATGCACTGCAACATTGAAGTCATATAACTTTGTGACTGTATATTTACATGCATTTACGGATACATGCAGACACTGAACAACTACTTCTCCAGACTGTACATCATACATTGTCTAACTTAGTTTTTCCTAATTTTAGACTTTACAGTATATATGTAATTCCAATTGTCTAAAAAAATCTTTTCTATATTTTTAAAATTATATATATCAATTAAGATTTCTGTTTTGATTATTATATTTAAGATACTGAAATTTTGTCATTTGAAAAACTTCATAAAATGAAATATTGAATTTTAAAAATCACAACAACAAAAATGAGACTCAGACTTCCATCTGCTAAATATTTATATATCTATGCATAAACAATTTGGATACCTTAATAGTGCAGACGACAGCGCCGCCCGTAGGGAATTTCTAACCAATCAAATGCCGTTATACTTGTGAAGCGCGAACTATAAATAAATCTAAACGTCTAAATCGAAAGTTGGAAGATGGATTTGATTTTAGTAAAAAAAAAAACATTACTACTGTTTATCCTTGGATTAAATGGTTTTCATTTGATGAAAGTCTCATCAACAACGAGAATTTGCGCGTGAATCAAAACGACGCCATTTTACAGGACGCCATATTGGCGACAAGAATCTCAGTTCCATAGGTATTGTAATTGACATATAGTTTACAATAGATTTCTTTTATTTTTCATATACATACGTGTTACCTATAGGGAGAGCTTCGGGCCCGTGAGAGGGCTCCGCCCTCTATTAGTACATGTATGTTTTGTTTTGTATTTATAAGCAGAGGCACTCAAAAGATTAATTCCTATTATACAAAGTCATTAAGCTAGCGCTCTGAAAATAATTAAAATTTTTATTTAGACACATCTAAATGTTATAAGGCAGACATGGGGCATTAATTCAGATAAATTTTATAGTATACGCACTAACGCAGGCATCATAAAATCGCACAAAGTAATAAAACCTTATAAACAATTGTTGAAATTCTAAAATTATAAAGGGAATAAGAAAAAAAATCAAAGTTTCTCTGCGTATATCCTTAATGATTCTTTTTAAAAGTTAGTTTTGTAAAACTTATTAATGTCGCAATTACCCCCCCCCCCCCCCTTCCTAGTAAATTCGTTTATATCAAGTTCCTACAATTTCGATCCGTGTCATTTTTTTCATGTCAGATTTAAAAAGAAATGTGTACACTTTAATCCAGTTGCAATACACATGACAAACTTTTGATTAATAAGGGGGAAAATGGTGGGAAGACCCAAAATACATAACAGTATTTTTTGCTTTAGAAGGTATGAAAAATCAAAGATAGTTCTAAAATTTCGAAACCACCCCCAACACACGAAATAATGTTTTCAACGTTTGTTTTTTCCCTTGTGGGTGGATTTTTTGGACTTGGTTTGCCCTCCCCCTCCCTGGAAACAATTCCTGGATCCGTACCTGCTTC